AGGGCAGTTGGGGGTGGTCAGGCCAGTGGGGGTTGGGGGGCAATTGGAGGCAAGCAGGCTGGCGGGAGGGCAGTTGGGGTCAAATGGGCTGGTGGAAGGGGGGCAGTTGGGGCAAGCAGGCCATCAGACAGAGTGGTTAGGGGTGATTAGACAGGCAGGCAGGTGAGCAGTTAGGAGGCAATGGTACTGGATTGCAAGAGGGATGTCCAACTGTCAGTTTAGTCCCAATCCCTGTGATTGGGCCTAAACTGGCAATCGGACGTCCCCCAAAGGGTCCCAGGTTGGAAAGCGTACATGCCAGGCTGAGGGACATTCCTCCCAGTGCATGAATTTCATGCACTGGGCCACTAGTTTACTATAAATCAGTAGAATTGTAAAACCCCAGGGTCATGCTAGACTGTGTCCTCAGCACCAATCCCCAAACCCCCTTCAACCAGTTGATCACCAAGTTTTATCATTTTTACCTCCTAAACATTTCCCAAGTCCTTTTTTCTTTTTTCAGTCTCACTGTCATCATTTTCTTCCATTGTTTCATTTCAAAAATGTTTCCTGAATTCCTGAAATGTGACAAGCACCATGCTACACACCGAGGGATCAACCCTGAATAGCACTCAGTCTTATTCAGGAGAGCAAGCAGAAAATTACAAAGCAACATGATAAATTCTGTTCTAAAAGCATAATCTGCAAGGGGCATCAAACCAGCCTGGGAGTGAGGACTGGGAGGAGGGTATCAAGGAAGACTTTCTGGAAAAGGTGACACCTAAGTTGAGTCTTAAAGGCTAAATTACCTCAAACTTGGCCTCCTCAGAGCAGTGTGTCTGGACCTCCCTCCCCACTGCACTTCCTATATATCCCCATTATTGCCTGGATTTCATAATGTGATTATCTCCCTATCTACTTTCCCAAGTCCTAAACTGCTATAGAGAAACTATGAGTTTTATCTTTATTACACCAGCCATGACCAGCAGATTGTAAGTATTCAGTATCTGTTTATAGAATTGTGGTGTGTGTTTTTTTGCTTCAGATTTTCAGAGTTTTATGGTAAAATATAAAACAGAAACCCCACAAAACAAATGCACAGCTTAATAATATAAGGTGAATAGACTAGTAACCATTGTTCAGGTCAAGAAACCATGGACACCTACCCTGGAAGCCTCCAGGAGCTCCTTTCTATTCACAAGCCTATCCTTTTCCCCAAAAGTAACCACTATTTTGACTTTTATAAAAATCACTAGAGGAACATTGTATTTTGGTTTGAGACTACGAGGTAAAAAGCAATCAATAGAATTGATTGGTTTTCATTTTAGTTGATAACTCACAGTCTTATAAGAATAAACCGTATGCGAATTATATGATTCACAGCGCAGTTCTGCATCTGTGTTCTGCTACTCCTGTTCAGCATGACTGAGCTTTCACTTTTTGTTCCTACTAATACATGTACATCTGGCCACTCCAGCAGCCTTGCTAACAGAAAAGACAGTGACTCCTGTAGTGTCCCTCCCTGGGGAGCTGAATTGACCACACTACCTGGGAAGAGACTGATGAAGGGAGGCGGAGGGCTGTTCTGCCATCCCGCCAGCCTCTGTCGAGAGCCACCGTCATCACACCATGGAATGACTGACTGGGTGAGCATGCTTCTGTACCTCCATCTCTGGAAACAATGACAGGGGCTCTGAAACCAGTTTGAAACCTAGACATCGTGGCTTGCCTTTTTCTAAACTGGTGTCTGTGGGTAGGTTAAAGTTATCAAGTTTTAATTTCCAACTATTTCTCTGTTGGACCAGAATGAGACAGTGGAAATTCATTACAATGCAGCGTTTCCCAATGTAAGAGATACATTCCACCTGGGGTTTGTAAGATGATTCTACACGGAACACAAATGAACGTGCTTCAGTTAACAATGAATTTGTTTAAGTTTAGTAACATATTTTAAGTAGTTATTTACAGTTACCTTTTACTTGGGACAAGTTTTAAAAAAATGTGTTGATTTGAATTCTTGTTATGCAAATAATGATATAGGTGCTTCGTAAAGGACTCAAAGTGGGAAGCACTATTATTTTACATTCCTCAAGGTGAAATTATAGCAACAGAGAATGCCAAAAGCTGGAGGAAACTTGGAGGCTATCCAATTCAATTTACTATTTTATTTACTTATTCATGCAACAAATATTTATTGGACACTTACTAATTATAAGGGTCATGGCAGAACTGCAGTGAATCAGAGAGGGACGATCTAGTGAGAGAAACAGACATTAAAATATATACCCAGTAAAGTAATGATAATTATGATAGGTTCTGTAAAGAAATAAAACATGTATGAAGCTATTAATAGCAGGATGTTTCAATGAAATCTTAACGGACTAGGAAAATTTAGCCAGACAAAGCAGGGCATGGGGATGGAGTTAGAGGCAGGTGGTGGGAAAAGAGGAGAGTGTGTGAGATCCTGAAAGGGCCGAGCAGCTGGAATACAGAAGATCATCTTTCTACAGTGTGCAGGCATCTGTGTAGATCACCTGTGGTAGTTAATTCAATCAGGGCCAACCCAGAGGTAAAGTAACTTGACATTGGCCACACATTCTAAGAGCAGCAGGGCCAAGTCCTCCATTCATTCTTTTTTCAATATTTTTATTGACTTCAAAGAGGAAGGAGAAGGGAGGGAGAGATAGAAACATCAATGATGAGAGAGAATCATTGATTGACTGCTTCCTGCATTCCCTACACTGGGGAATCGGGCCTGCAACTTGGGCATGCGCCCTGACCGGGAATCGAATCATGAACTCCTGGTTCGCAGGTAGACACTCAACCACTGAGCCATGCCAGCTGGGCTCAATCCATTATTTTATGGGTTCATACACTCACCACATACTTACATAATGCCCTATGTACGGGTCCTGTTCTGTGTGTGCTGAGGACCCTACTGGAAACAAAACAGACAGAAGTCCTGCCACACAGAGCCTATATTCTGTGTGGTGGAGAAAGTCAATAAATAAGTCAATGCAAGCATGCCAGTGGGAGAGAAGTGGTTTAGAGAAAAGTGGTGAGGGATGATGAGTTGAGAGGGGAATCCATATTTTATATGAGTTACCCTCTGATGATGTAGGCAAAGACCTCAAGGAAGTTGGGACAAGCCAGGTCCCGGGACTTCACTGAGGGCTCTTGCTACCACTCCAGGCTACTCATTGGGACTCAGACCACTAACACTCTACCCTGTAGTAAGAGCAGATTCAGCTCAAACATGCTGAAACTATGCTTTTTTTCCTTGATATTTGAAAAAGTTTACTTGTGAATAGGCACCAGCACATGGATATTGGCTTTTACTTGGTGATGATTTTTAAATTTCTATTATGCTTCTGATTGAGTTTAGCAGCCTATTGATTATTCTGGGCAAACCTAAAAATATAAGAAACAATTAAACAAACAAAAACATCGAATTCAATCATCCAAATATATTGGAAAACACAGATGAAATTTTATCTTTTAAAGACCTGAAATTTGCTGGCCAGCAAATAAATATTTCTCAGTCCCTCTAATAACTAGAGTCCCTATGTAAGAGGAGACATAAAAAGTTTGTAACAAGACTGGAGACACCAGGTTCTGTGGAAGTGCAGCGCAACCTCAGCTGTGTGGGGTGCCTGTTCCCAGAAACACCATGTACCCTAACAGTGGGACAGTGAGAGGCTGTGGGTGCACTTCTCAGACCCATGGCAAATCCAGTAGATTCCTGATTCCTTCTTCTGAACATTTGTGAGGAAGGAATGCTGCCCCATTACTGATGGCCTGGGAGCCTACCCTCATCCTCAGCATGAGATGAAGAGTCCTCACCAACTCCCTCTGCTCACCACACCTTTTCTTCCCTGTGGTTTTGCCTAATAACGAGGCCCCAGATAGAGATAAGACCACAGGGTGTTGATGGAGAAGGCAGGAAGGAAGAAGGGGGGAGACAAAGGTAATTTTGGAATCTGAAACCAACTAAGAGAGGGTAGGCCCTGGTGAATAAAATAATGACTGTAAGATTGAAAAGAAGAACCGGATAGTGTGAAAGCAATGAAGAGAAGAGGTGCCAGGGACAAAATCCACAAAAGCTTGTGGAAACTCAGACTATTTATGTCACAAAATCGCAATGTTGTCTGTGTGCAGCAGGGGCACAATGAGAGCTTTGTGGGTGTGACCTGGCTGTCACACAGAGTGCTTCTGAAACTGCAAACTTAGCATGCCGATAGCTATGAAGCTGAGTCCGTTTAATGCAAAACAATGGTCAGTCCATATTACTCATTTAACTGAAGGTCTAGCTAAGCAAATATGGTATTTAGATAGTATGAGAAGTTTGCTGTCGTGGTATCTAAGCTGTATTTAGACTTTTCTTTGGCCTCTATCAACTTTTTGAGTTGTAAGGAGCATTATCAAACTCTGGCATCCTTCGTGGTCTTTGTAGAATAGGTTTAGTACTAGTCAAAGGCAACTAGTAAACTATTCCAAGCATGTCGCTGACTTGGGTGGTTTTCTTTTTATCTGATCTGGTTGTTATCTATTGTACTCAATGAAATTCTAGCATGCTGTCATTAAAAGGGCAGTTAGGAGACAGAAACAGTTTTATTTAATTAAACTCAAAATCTGTTAGGAGCTAAATTCACACTGGGTATAATTAGAAACCATCAAACTCTTAAGTGGACAATATCACATCTATAGCATTTATTTCAGTCCCAATAACATTATAGTATTTCCTAGAAATCTGCCATTTTCTCTCCACAAATATTAGATGAGTTAATTTTGATTCTACACCTTTCAATTAAATGTATTCAATGTGTTTGGCAGTAACAAAATATGTTCAAAATGAAAGTACTATAAAACTTTATTTTGTTAAATTTCTCTAGTCCAAGCATATCAAACTCAAAGGCTAACACTGGCCAAATAAACAAGGTTTAAGTTTATGAGGGCCGCAAAAAAGCAAAAGCTTCAATTTTCATAGAAACATAGGTTTATTTCGATAGAGACATGCTGAATACAAAGGGCTGGAATAAATGAGTCATCGTTAATGAATATTTGTTGAGGGCTGCAAGTTTGACATGCCTGCTCCAGTCCATTATGAATCTAACTTGCTGTCAGTACTATGTACAGAATTTAAAAAAGAAATACGCTGTTTTAAATTTGTTCCTGGTGGTTTTTATTCTGTTTTAAAATAATCAAATCAATTGATTTCTTGCATTACTTAATATTTTCCAGGAATTGTTTAATCCAGGAAAGAAGTATATCCAATTCATTGATGGCTTTGTAGATTCCTCTGTTTCCAATCTGCAGATAAAGTAGAGATATAAAAGCAGAAATCTTGTTGATTTAAAAATCACAGTATTCAAAAGCAAGTATTTGGAATATTTACCCCATAAAATGTTCTTTTCATCCTAGTAATGGATTTCATCTCTCTAGCTGATGAAGCACAGGAAATCTAAGAAATCAACAGTAAATACAGATAATATTATTGAAGAGGCACTAATAGTACTTTCATATTCAGAAAACACTTATTGAGTACCATATTTCCTGGTGTATAAGACGACCCCCTAATTTTACAGTTAAAACATAGGTTTAGGCCTATATTCGCGGTATAAGACTACCCCCCACTTCTGAGGCAACACCAGTTCTTTTTTTAATAGACCGCCTCTTTAACTCAGCCAATCCGAGCAGGCTTTTTATGCATGCAAATTATACATGTTCTGTACTCGAAGCTACACTGTGTTCTAGTAAAAAGCCTGCTAAGATTGGCCAGAGTCAGAGAAGCGGTCTATTAAAAAAAGAACTGGTGTTGCCTCGGAAGTGGGGGGTAGTCTTATACAGCGAATATAAGCCTAAACCTATGTTTTAACTGTAAAATTAAGGGGCCATCTTATACACTGGAAAATACGGTAGGTATTATGTTCTGGGCATGGATATGCATTGGCAATAAATAATACATGGTGTCTGTCCTCACAGAGCATATAGTTTCATGGTGGACGCAGATGATATATAAGAAAAGAAACAAAAATTGAACTTTACAAATTACAATGAAAGCTGTGTTTGTAATGCACGAGACTCTGTGATAGGGATTTATAAGAATGATATACTTTCAATTGGTCAAGGAGGGTTCTTTTGAAGAATGACATTTGAATTTAAGATCTGAAAAATGAAAAGGAACCAGTTATTTTAGGATCTAGAGAAAGATGGAGGTGGTGGGGGAAGAAGCACAGGAGAGATTATTCAGGCAGAGGGAGAGGTGTGCAAAGGCTCTGAGGCAGGAAACTGAAAGAAAAAAAGCTTGGCTGGGGCAATTGAACAAGAGAGATGTGGACAAAGAAGTTTTACTTTTTGAAAAATTACCGTAACTATGACTATTATGTACATTGCACTGTACAGTACAATATTCAGGAGTCAATTGCCAGAGAAATTAGGAGAAAGCAATAAGAAATCAATATTAATTTCTGAATTAAGAGAAGGAGGAGGCTGATGATTTATAGCCTGGCTGGTAAAGACTACCAGTCTCCCTTGAGGAGGTGAATTTTCAAATCCTATCTGAGCACAGGATTGCCTAGGAGATAAGTAGGAAGGAATTAACATCATCTTCTGTTCTTTCACAAATTTCTATCGAGTTAATTAGAGAAAGGGAAAGAAAAAGGTGAAGATATCTAATGTATCAATTTAGTTTTTGCTCATAAAACATTAGCTCTAGAATAGACCAGGGAAGGCCACGTGTACACAAGTTGTAGAAAAGGAAACCAAGCTCCACTTGTGTAAGTCACTCACCCAAGGTATCACAAGAGTAGTGTAACAGAGTCGGGGACATCAATAAAGATAACACTTAATTAAAACTCATGAAGTAGAAGCAACTAAATGACAACACCTATTACAGCAAATGAAACACAGCCAATGTCAACCAACAGGTCCCGTTGGTTAACTAAAATACGAAGGGCCAAAATGCAAAGGTGAGAAGTGGAGAGAAGAAGCATAATTCAGGCTCCTTTCCTACCAAGAGAAAATAACTGAAATTATTTGACAGTTATATCTTGAATGCTGTTTCGGGGCTTAAAGGTGATGATGGTATCAATGACTGCACAGACGGGGACTCTGCCTTCCAGTCAGACCTTGCTTAGGGGGAAGAGCTTTGGTGATGAGGCACAGGACTGCAGACATGAATGTTCTGGTAAGGTGCAGTTGATGGGCTTTACAAGCACGGGATTGGATGTTCCTGTGATAAGAGTCCTAAATTAAGAAGAGGATATTTCAGCTCAAGCCAATCCTATAAGGTCAAGGCAAAGCATGACAGATCCAGGACAGTGGTAGCCAATGTCAGAGAAAACAGAAAGAATTCAATCATTCATTAAATATCCCTAAAGTGCCTACTATTTGTTGGGCCAGCTGCTAGGTACTAAAGTCATAATGATGAGCAAGATAGTGTTAGTAGATAAAAGAGTTGTAGGTAGAAAAATTAACAAAGCACAAGTTTACTGGTAGGAGGTAAAAATTCAGCAGTTTCAGGAGCTCTCATCTTTATCCAATTCCCCTTCAAGTGAAGACAGAAATACTGAGAAGATGGGTAGGCAAAAATAGTCAACATGTAATATGTTAGAGTTATATGTCAGGCACTAATCTGAAGGCTTTAGGTGTATGAATTCATCCGGTCCTCACAACAACTCTATGAGGGAGGTACTATTACTTCCTCATTTTACGGACTGAAGCATGGAAGTTAATATTCTGCCTGTGTCAGGCTGAGGTCTGAATCCAAATATTCTGACTCCAGAGTCTTTAATTAAAAACACTCTATTAAACTGAAAAAAATAAACAGCATAACTTGGAAAAAATATTTCAACTAAGTCAATCTCTTGTTGAAAACTTTCAAAATCGTTTCAAAGGGAAATTAGCTCAAAGATCTCTGCTCCATATAACACAAGAGGTAATGTCAGAAATGAATTTAAGCTGATGGCAGAGAAAGATTTCAACCTGAAAATGGACAACATGATAATAAATAAAAGAAGAAACCCTGTGTGTGTGTGTGTGTGTGTGTGTGTGTGTTTTGTTGTTGTTGTTGTTGATTTGTTTATCAGATTGGAACTACAAAAGAAAATTCTAGAGATACCAAGCCTAGTTTCAGCCACGTTAGTAGGTCTGGTCATAATTTAAAGAAGTCTGCCCATTATCTTATAAATGAATAGTTTTATCAGATACAAGTCCTTTTAGCCTACAATTATCTATACTAATAAAAGTGTAATATATTAATTAGACCAGGAGAGCTTTAGGATATCCTTCCAGACAAAGCCATGGTGGCAGGGCTGAGGCAGAGGAGGTTAGGGGCGATCAGGCCAAGAGGAGAGGACAGTTGGGGGTGATAGGCTGGCAGGGGAAGGGGTCAGCTGAGGGTGACCAGGCCGACTGGGGGGGGGGGGGGGCTAGTTGGTGGCTATCAGGCCAGCAGGGAGTGCAGTTGGAGGCAAGCAGGCCAGTAAGGGGGGCAGTTGAGGGTGAGCAGACCAGCAGTGGAGGCAGTTGGGGGTGATCAGGCTGGCAGGGGGGCAGTTGGGGCAATCAGGCCGCCAGGGGAGGTCAGTTGGGGGCGATCAGGCCAGTGGGTGGGGCAGTTAGGGGTGAGCAGGCCGGTGGGTGAAGCAGTTGGGAGCGAGCAGGCCAGCAGGGGAGGAGTGTCAGTTGGGGATGAGCAGGTAAGCTGGGGGAGAGGAGGTGAGGAGAAACAGTTGGGGGAGATCTGGATGGGATGGAGAGCAATTAGTAGTGATCAGGCAGTCAGGCAAGTGAGCGGTTAGGAGCCAGCATTCCCATTTGCAAGAGGGATGTCTGAGGGGTCCCAGATTGGAGAGGGTGCAGGCCAGGCTGAGGGACACCCCCTCCCCAGCACAAATTTCGTGCACCAGGCCCTAGTCTAACATAAAAGTAGCCCAAATCTTGCAATTAGAAAAAAAAAAGAAAACTCAATATAAAAGAGAAGTAATACTTGCCTCATTTCAAGGCACTATATCAAAGTTCTTACATGCAAGGATCAGCACAAAGCACAGAAGATTCAAGTTACATGGGGTAATATCAAATTCCCATGTGTTAGGATTTGAAGATTTAACACTGAAAGTGGGAGATCAAAGAAGCCAACCAAATCCTGGACATTACAGAAGTTAAATATTATTAAGACATTCCTGTGACTATATTCTTTGCCCAGAAAACTTTGATCTGCAGTGCATCCCACAGCAGGGTGGGAAGCATAAAGAGGCTTTTGACCTCACTCCATCTAAGCCATATGCTACCCTAAGTAGAACAAGAGAGCAAAAAATGAGAAAAACAAGGTTTGGAAATAGATAGATAGATAGATAGATAGATAGATAGATAGATAACACTTAATAGGCCAGGATTGTCACTAGAGGTATATTGGTTTATGTGATTTTTTAGTGCCTTAAGCTCTGTTTATTATAAATAACCCCTATGAAAGATCTGACCCAGGATTATGCTAAGTGAAATAAGTCACTTAGAGAAAGACAAGTACCATATGATTTCACTCGTATGTGGAATCTAATGGAAAAAAAATTAAACTAACAAACAAAATAGAACAGACTCATAGATAGAGAAGAGACTGACAGCTGTCAGAGGGGAGTGGGTTGCAGGGTTGGGTGAAAAAGGTGAAGGTATTAAGCAAAAATTAAATAAACTAATAGACTCAGACAACAGTATGGTGATTACCAGAGAGAAGGGGATTGGGGGTGAGAGGAGGTAGAATAAGGTTAAAAGGGAATAAGTGGTGATGAAAGGAGACTTGGCTTGAGGTGGTGAACACACAATACATTACACAGATGATGTATTTTAGAATTGCAAACCTGAAACCTGTATAATTGTATTAACTAATGTCACCCCAATAAATTCAACAAAAAGAACAATTAATTTTTTAAAAAAGTTCTGACCCAGAAAGTCCTAATTTTCCTGACTTTTGTACATATGTCCACAGACACAGTAGGATAGCCAGATTTTATTGTCATAATTTCAATTGCTTTGCTTAAAAGGAGGATGTTATAAACAAATTGTTTCTTTTATCTCATATTTTAGGGTCTAGTTGCATTTGCCAGAAACAGAACGTGCAACGAAGGGCAAGCAGTTTTATTATAAAAATGGTTGAAGGATTTGACAAACTCAACCAAAGTGGATATGATCTAGATTCTAGACTAAAGGTAAATTATTAGTAAGGCTAGAATAACTAGGGACCAGATCAAAGAGAGGTGTGAGATAGTCATAGAAAACCAAACACAAGGCCTAACCATTCATTAAGTACATTTGTATTGCACACTAACTATTTGCTAGGCATACAGTAGCATTCCCGCCCACATGGTGTTGATTTATAAAATGACCCTACATCATGGAAATTGCCTTGGTGTTCAAGTGATGGTTCATCTATTCAGACAGACAGTGACGCAAAATTATAATACTCTG